TCGTACTTACGGGCCCACAGGTTAATAATCTGTTAGGTCGACAGGTGGCATCACAAATGGGCCTAGTGAAGCGAGTCAACGAAATAGATGGAACATTGTTTGGAGATATTGGTTTGTTAAAGTGCGACCCGGTAAAAATACAGCTGAAGGAAAATGCTGTTCCATACAGTATTAACACTGCCCGCAGAGTGCCATTTCCGATACTGTCCAAGGTCAAGGAAGAGCTGGAATATATGGTGAGCGTTGGGGTCATCGAACCAGTTACTGAGCCGACAGACTGGTGCGCCCCTATGGTTCCTGTTGTTAAACGCAATGGGAATATACGCATCTGCGTGGATTTGAAGAAACTGAATGAATCGGTGCGTCGGGAGCGATTCATACTGCCAACTTTCGATGATATAATCCCTAAGCTGGTAGGAGCACGTGTGTTTTCGAAGTTGGATGCGTCGAGTGGGTTTTATCAAATGCCACTAGACCCTGAGAGTTCAAGATACACCACATTCATCACACCGTTTTGGGCAGTACTGTTTCCGCCGCGTCCTATTCGGGATTACATCAGCACCAGCGGTGTTCCAACGTAAGATGACGGAGCTGCTGCATGGACAGGATGGTGCTATTGCGATGATGGATGACATATTAGTGTATGGGAACAAACTCGAAGAACATGACAGACGAATTAAGAATGTCTTGGATCATATACGTGAATCGGGACTGAAACTCAACAGGGAGAAATGCAAGTTCCGACAGCCAGAGCTAACGTACTTTGGTCATCATATCTCAGAAGAAGGGATAAGCCCAGACCCAGGAAAAGTAAAAGAAGTCGTGGATATCGTCGCACCACGAGATGTACGTAGCAGGTGCTAGACGGTTTATAGGCATGGTCAATTACTTGGGAAGACATTTGCCAGAGCTGTTAACGGTTATAAAGCCGATATCTGATCTACTGAAGTCTGCCGCAACTTTCCAGTGGAGTTACACACAAGATGAGGCGTTTTTGAAGGTCAAGGACATGTTGTCAAAAGCACCTGTCTTGGCATTCTATGATGTAAACAAGCCAACTGTGGTCAGTGCAGATGCCAGCAGTTATGGTTTGGGTGGAGTACTAATGCAACAACAGGGAGATAGACTCTTACCTGTGGCATACTGTTCTCGCACATTGACAAATGCTGAGGCTAGATATGCTCAGATTGAGAAAGAGTGCCTGGCGTGTGTGTGGGCATGCGAAAAGTTCGCACAGTATCTGTATGGACTGAGCGAGTTTAAACTGGTGACAGACCATAAGCCATTGGTTCCACTGATCAATAAACAGGATATAGACAAAACGCCGCTGAGGTGCCAGAGGTTGCTGATGCGTCTCATGCGATTTGCTCCGAGAGCAGAATATGCACCTGGTAAGGAGCTTGTGGTAGCAGACACACTGTCAAGAGCACCACTAGTAAGCATAGAGGTGCCAGATACAGTTCTGGAGGTTCAGCAGTTTGTGGACAGCGCTGACGAACAGAGGCCCATAGCCAGTCAGAAACTCGAGCGTATCAGAAGAGCGACAGTATGCGATGCAACGCTACAGAGGGCGATTGGACTCACAAAGGTGGGGTGGCCGAACAGGATTCAGTCGGTGCCAGAGGATGTAAAGGCATTCTACTCGGTTAGGAGTGAACTATCCGAGTCAAAGGATCTGCTCCTGTATCG